TTGTACATAATTCTCTTTTAGTCTCCTTTTTAAAACTTTTGCCCTAATCTTTACTTTTCTTGCTATCTGCTGCATACGGATTTGGCTTTCCCCCTAGAACCTTGCAGTCTGTTTGATTACTTAGTTGAGGTCTACCTGATTTTTTTTAAAAAATGTAATCACACATAGCTATAAACTTTCCTCGCAGAATTGCCTTAGCTGTGTCCCAGAAGTTCTGGTAAATGGTGTTGTTATCTTAATTTGACCTGAGGAATTTTTAAATTTACTCCCTTGCTTCTTCAATGACTCATTGTTCATTCAGAAGTGAATTTCTCATTTTCCTAGTATTTGTGCAGTTTATGTTGCTTTTAACCTTTAGTTCTATTCCACTATGTTATAATGAAGTACAAGGGTTTTCAGAAGTTTTTTTGTTTGTTTGTTTGTATGTTAAGGATTATCTTGTGATTTGTAATGTGATTAGTTTTAAAGAAGGTCCTATGGGCAAGTAAGAATAATGTATACATAATATATATTTTATATCTTTTAGATAGATGAGTTTGTTGATACCTGTTCAATTGACATCTGATATGTGTGTGTGTTTGCTGTTGTTTTTGTTTTTTGTTTGTTTGCTTGCTTGTTTTTCGAGACAGGGTTTACTCTGTGTAGCCTTGGCTGTCTGTCCTGGACTTGCTTGTATCTGGTATATTTTAATTGTGGGATTTCTTTGCTTACTCTTAGTTTGAAAACTTCAAGTTTCATTTCTGTTCCCGTAATTAAAAACTACCCCCCACATACACACACACAAACCACTTAGGGGGGAAAGGAGTTTGTATTTCAGCTTACAATTCTGGGTTACAGTCCATTGTGGGAGAGTCAAGGCAAAAACATCAAGCAGCAAGTCAAATCAAAACTACAGTCAAGGGGAGAGAGAAATGAATGCACACATACTTGGTCGCTTGTGCTCAGCTCATTTCTCCACTCTTAAACAGTTCAGGACCTCCTGCCTAGGGAATGGTGCCACTCACAGTGGGCTGGGTCTTCCCACATCCATTAGCTTATATAAGATATTTCTCTCCATAGGCTTGCCCAGAAGCTGAGCCAGTATTGATAACCACTCATCCAGGCTCCCTTCCCAGCTGATCCTAGACTTTATTAAGTTATCAGTTAAAGTTAATCATCACAGAGACCTAACTAAAGATGAAAGGTTGGGCATGGTATCACAGTCGTTAATCCCCAGAGGCAGAGGCAGAGGCAGGGAGACCTCTGTGAATGTGAGGCTAACATAATCACATAGAAGTTCCAGGCCAGCAAGGCTTCATAGTGAGACCTTATCTTGGAAAACAAAACAAAACAAAACAAAAGATTAGAGTTGGAATTATTGAAATCTTCTGGTATTATTGTACCTGGACCTGTCTTTCATGCATTTTAGAGCTTCTTAAGGAAATTGGGAGCCCCAGTATTTTGTGTGTAAATAGTTATCCTATTTTCTTTCTTGGTTAGTCCCTTGTTTCTATGTATTAAAAAGCTGGGGGGGGGTTTGCATGTTGATTTTGTATAGTGTCATTTTGCTGAAAATCTGAGAGTATTCAGATAGTGTCTTCGTTATTTTCTCCTGAAGAATTGTTCACCTTAGTGCTATAAAACGACCTTATTTATCTCTCTTTATTTGAACTCTACTTTATCAAGAATGAAAGGCATTTCTAACAGTATGGTTTTAGCTCCTATTAGCTTATTAGAATGACTTCCACCCTTTGGCTCCTAGTTTGTGAATGTCTTAGTTAGGATTGCTGTGCTAAAACTTCAAAACCAAGGCAACCTGGGTGAGCTAGGCAGGGCAGTGCTGGAGAACTTGCCCTGGTGGCGAGGGCACAGGAGGACTGGCAGGCTGACCAACTCAGCTATGACCCAGGCCCAGATCCAGGGCTTTGAGTTAGCCCATCTCAACATCTACTCCATTGGTGAATTGCTGTAGTGCATGAAGGGGCTGGTCCTATAGATCCAAAGTTTCAGTATCTCCATGACACAAGACAACACAGTATATCTAAGAGGAGTCATGGTCAGAACATAGGCCTAGGAAGGAGGGGACAGGACAGAGGAAGCACAGGATGATTAAGTGCCTCCCTCAGACACAGCTGAGAAGACTCAGGCCTAAAGTGGCAAAGCTGTGGGGGTAGCTTGTTTTCCTCCCTTCCTCTTGTCTTCCCTCTCCCTCCTCCTTCCTCTCTCTGTCTCTGTCTGTCTCTTTGTCTCTGTCCCTGTGTCCCTGTCTCTCTCTCTCTCTGTGTGTGCCTCTGTCTCTCTCTGTTTCTCTCTCTCTCGCAGCTGAACACTTTAGAGATCTGATTTCAGGGACACACAGGCAGCCAGGAAGGAAGTAGGCTGCTGACGGCCTCACCAAGAACCCAGCAGATAGAGGAAGTATTTCAAGGGCTGTCAGGATGGCATTAAATATGTTCCACAATCAATCTTCCTAGAAATCCTTTATTTATAAAATATTTTAAAACACACAGTTTGCTTCGTGAAGCAAGTTTACAGCAAAAATCCATGCCATATGCAAACACTGCACACAGGATGGCAGGCACGCTTGCCTGCCAGGCTCAGACATGCTAGAACATCCAAAGTGTAAGCTCTAGGCAGGAGATCTCTGAATCCTTGTCCCCAGCAGTTCTCTCACTGTGGGGCGGGTGCACAGGGCATGGGAGCAGCGGGACGTCCCCATCTTTCTGTGTGAGGTGGGTCCACCTTGGAAGCATGTATCTTCTACTTTAACATACCCTGGAGGCACATTCTTTAAAGGGAACACAATGAAGGGAAAGACAACCTTCCTGGTATTCACGTGATGGTGAGCGGCAGTGAGGAAGAACTGAGTGAATCCCACTTTACAGTGAAGAAGTATCTCGCAAAAAGATGTGCGTGCTACAGAGACTCACACCAGCATAGAAATGTATGAAGCAGTCACGTGATTCAGGGAGATAAATAACAAAAATAAAGACCTTAACAATATTATGCCTTTCACCAGTAAAAACAAAATATTAAGAGTCACCAGCGGGAAGGACAGGACTGAGTGGAGAGGAATGAAAGGACATTTAAATCTTGTTGGGCTTTTTTTAAAGTCCAACTATCACTGATGGGAAAGCAAGTCTTTAAAGCAATATTGAAGACCCCTCCTGTGTAGGACATGACATTAGGACTCCCAGAATCCTCTGCTGCTGGAGCGAGCCCTCACCTCTTCTGCGGGGCAGGGCCTTACTCCTCGCACAGGCCTTAATCAGCCACCAAACTCGGCCTGCTGGCATTCCTTGTGTCTGGCATATGGCCACTCAGGCGGCACACTCAGACCACCCGCCTCTTGGCGCCAACCCCAGTGGTTTCTATCAGCTTCTCTGTGCAAGACAGCAGAGGGATTTGGGTTTTTTTTGTTTTAGACTAGATACTCATTACTGCTCAAGGACCAGAAACAAGCCAGCATCCTGCACCCAGGAAGCTTGTGTGTTTTCTCCCCATAATTCAGTGTTCCTCAACCTAGCTCTTCAACAGCATCTCCCAATGACGGCAAACTAAGATTCTAGTATGTGCGTCCCTTTTTGTTTCAACAAAGGATGAAGGGAGCCCTTCCTTTCTGTGTCAGGAGTGTTTATCTATCATTCTGGGCTTCGCTTTCCTACACACCCTTCAAGATTGAAGCCGTCAGCATGCATGGCTGTAAAGTGATATAGGAGTTGGTGTCCCAAACCATGGAACAATTTCCAGAAAATCCAGTTTCACTGTTAAAGGAGCATAGCATTAAGATTTTAAAAAAAGGAAATCACATAGCCTTTTGGATGAAGGATCTGCTGCTTAGGGGAGAAGAGTCACCCTCATACATAACTAGGCAAACTTTGGTGAAATGCCAGATATGGGTGTGGTTAAATAACCCTCAGGAGGACAGCTACAGCATGGGGCCTCCAAGAAAGACACACCCCAATTTCACCTTCAGTACCTCGGGATAATATACCCCAGAATGTTTTGCATCTATAAGATGTATAAGTGACTTCAGCTCAGGAGATTCAGCGGGCTCCCGGGACGCATAGCTAATGAGACATCAAAACTGCACCCAGGCACACTGCAGTGAAATACCACGTGCCACTCAAAAAATGAGGTACGTCTGTATAGTTAGCTTCATAAGAGTTATCACCTCTCTCTCTCTCTCACTCTCTCCCTTCCTCAAAAGACAACTTCGTATATATGTATAGAAAACTAAAATGGAGAACTGACTGAACTCTTGGAGCTAATTCTAGGAAGGGAGATTTAAATTTAAAGGGCTTTTCACTTTCCCCCTTCTCTAAATTGCTTACATTTTATGTAATGTGTATTACTTGTCACAGGTTCCTTTTTAAACATAAAAAAATAAATGCCACTCCACTGTTTCATTGCTTATGAAATGTGCACTGCTGAGTGAAGAAGAAATATTAAAAGTGGCATTTAAAAAAAAAAAAAAGAGTGCTGTGTGTTTGAGAGCAGTTGACTCTTTGTGAGCCTGGAAGAAACAGAAATTACGTTGTGGTAGAAGAAAATTCCTGGAGCATTAAAAAGCCACCTAAACAAAACAGTAACAAGAACACAAGGGGTCAGATTTATGAAGATAAATGGGATTCTTTGGGATTCTGCAAAAGGATGTATTTTTGGAAAAGGCTGTTAATTTTGAGGCTCTGTCAAACTATTATTGGCACAAGGAAGCATCTAATATACAAAATAAGCAGAAACAGCCCATTGAGCATATGCAGCTGTAAGCTGCATGGCTGGTGGCAGGACAGTTTCCAACCTGCGCGAAAGCTCCGCCCTCCAGTGTTGCCATGGAGACTACTGATGGCCAGCAAAACAAACAGGGAAATGGCAGAGTTTTAAAAATCTATCTCTAGTATTCTCTCTCTCTCTCTCTCGCTCTTCCTTCCTTCCTTTCTATACCAAAAAAAAAAAAAGAAGTCAGCAACAATTCTAAAGAATGAGATGCAAAACCAAAAAAGGAGACAAAAAAAAAAAAGAATTATTTCCATCCATTGTTATACAAAAGGACATGTAAAAATGTCCCATTTTATAGATTCTGAATGCTTTTTGACTCAAGTATGTGGCAACAGAGTCCACCATCTAGCTTTTAGAGAAGGCCAAGGAGAGAGAGCAAATAGGTCACAGGGTCCACTTGGATAGAGTGCATGATCCGGGCATTATAGGACATTATAGTCTCTTTCCTCTGTGGCATGACCCAGGAGAACTACAGTTCCTCCATCCAAGGATGAATTTCTTCATTGGTGGACAGAGTAGTCTCCAGTTTAGACTTTACTTTCCTGAGAAATAGACCAATAACACTTAAGTCTGCCTTCTCCTGTCAGGGATTCACACCGACACAGTTTTTCAGTCTTCAAGCAAACCCCATTGACACCAGCATTTAAGGACATGTAAACACGTCACTGATAATGGTTTCACAGTTAAAAGTCAGGGCACAGTCACCAAAGTACCGGCACCTGTTAAGACATGGATGGCAGTCACTGTTGTAGGACAAGCTCCTCTGATGAGCAGGTGCAGCTGTTTTCCCTCACAAATCCCTGTTGTCTTCATCAGTGCACCCATCTCTTAGCTCTTCCAAAGAAAAAGGGTGCCAATCAGCTGTCTTGTCAGGGTATTTACAATGAAACAAAATCCTTTCTGCTGCTGGCGTCTCACTCTTGAATGGAAGAATGGCGGAGGGACCGGTGGTAATCTGGAGTGCTAATGTGTTCAGGTAAGTCATAGCCCCTCAGGAAATGTCCACTGTTTTGTTGAGCAAAATAATACAGCTGTCTGGCTAGCAGAGGTTCCACCTTTAATAATACATTTAAAAAAAAACATAAAAAACATCACTAGAATATTCTCTTCAATACCACACAATCATGAAATGACCCTCAGACTCTAAGCAAAACCATAAGCCATATGTGATAACGTAGTAAAGCATTTCACATTCAGAGCCATTTGAAGAACCAGTTTTGTTTGCCCTTACAATACCTGGAATGGAATGCCCTGGAAATAGAATTCTTGGCTTTATGATGGAAGCTAAACATGGCATTTTCAAGCCAATTGTCTCTTGGAATTGATATTTAACTAAATAACTGGACATTCTCAGGTAAAAGGATCAAATCAAAAGGCTAAGTAAAATCCAGGGTAAGCTAGGCTCATGAGTTTGACACAAAGCGGGGCTCGCCCTGAGTGACCAGATGACTATGCAATAGACAAACTTCCAAACCACGAGTACAAGACAGAGTTGAACAAACACCAAACAGTCATATGGCAAATAGTAGTTCACTGGCTCTGGTGGATCTGGTTCATTTATGAGCATCGATCATACTCCCAATCAAGGCCAGCCTTCACCAAGTCAGGCTGAATGCGCTGTGTCAATCAATCATCTATAAACCAAACCTTGTTGTTATTTGATATATAATGACTCTTTAAGCACCCATATCATTAAGCCTTCAACCAGAAAACCAGGAGAGTTCATGGGTGTGCCCATGTATGTTTTCCAAATGATAGCATTTTTAGCCCTTTGACTATAGGATCATTGTCGGTTTTGTATGTGCATGCGTGCGTGCGTGCGTGCGTGCATGTGTGTATGTGTGTGTGTGTGTGTGTGTGTGTGTGTGTGTCCACTGTACCCAAAATCCTTAAAATCCGATCCATGCAGTAATTTTTTTCACTACTTTTAAAAATATTGCTTGTCGATGCTAGACTCCTCAATCTCATTTGATAATCAACCACCAGGTAGAACTGAGAAAATGCTCAAGACTGTAGTTTTGTTACTTCTTGGTTTTGCTTTTGCAACCAAGAAAGGAGGCTGGATGATTAACCTCAGTGCCTGCCAACCCTCATCGCTAGCTGGGTGTGGAAGCCAGGGCTTAACAACTGCTGGGCAAGTGCCTGACACTGAGTTATAGGCGCAATCTTCAGTTTTCACCACGAAATACTATCAGAGCTAAAATCCCATTTGCACTGAGATACTGTGGATATCCTGGGACGTAACATTTACTTGGTTCTGCATACTTTCTAAGATCTGTAATAAACTAAAATTTGCTAATTAAAAACATCAAGTATTAGGAACGACTTTTTAATTATTGAGCGCTGAATATTTATCTAAATAAACCCATTCCTTTTCTTTGCAAAAAGATGCTTACTGGCCACAGTTGCGCCCTTTTTAAACTGGATTAGCTGTGAGGATGGGCCGACCTACCTGGATTCATGGGAAGACTAGATCTCCTCCAAAGACCCCTTGTCCAGCTATTCAATAGTTTACCAAAGTCCAACAATAAAAAGAGGGCATGGGAACTATCTGAAATTATGAGGAACTATGAGACAGGATATATAGCAGGCAGCTTTCTGAGGGGGAATGCTCTACGCTACCAGAGTAGGCAGCTTCTTAAAAGCCACATGAGAAGCAGAGACGTCAGAGTGCCGTACTTGGTACCAACTATTTAAAATTCCTGTAAAAGGGAAGATCAAGGTCTGTCTGAAACAATGAGGAATACAGGGCAAGCAGAACCTTGGGTTCATGGCATCCCCCCTGTTGATTCTGCGGTGACAGACTTTGGCTGGAAGTAGATTGTGGGTCCCTGAGCTGTGTTGCTCACTGGGGCCTGCTTCCTCCTATGCTATTTTAAGGTCTACATTTATTTTCCCAGGTGATTTGACATTTACTCTTCATTTGCTACTTCTCTAAAAGGGACAGCTCCATGATGTGTGATTGAACGGTGATGTAAGCGGGTACTCACAAGAGCCGTGATGAGCTTCCTCTGCCTCTGAGGGTCTGGAAACTCCTCGCCGAAGCACAGAGTCACCTGGAATCTCGGTGCTGGTCGGCCATGGTGAGCAAACACTTGCAGCTCTGAGAACCCACAAGGAAAAAACAAAAAACAAAAAAACCCTGCTCAGACACCTGGTAAAATTGCTGAACAGAAAACAAGAGCCATGTGTAACTCTGCTTTGGGAGAGCCCGGACTCTGTTTCCCTAAGTCTAGCCCTTAGGGAAGACCCCAGACACAAAACCACAGGTTCGAGTTCACATGTGATTTCCTGGCTCGACGGTGGTTTTACTTCATTATTCTTGAGGAACGTGAGTGGAGTTGAAGAACTCAGCCTTGCAACACTGGACTCCCAGAAGTGAGAAAGGAGTGAGGGAGGACAGGAAAGAAGAAGAAAGGAAGCTATGATGAGGCAAACAAACAGCAAAGCAGACGCTTTAATTTAAAGGATTAAAATGTTCTGATGGTCCAGGGTTATTTTTTACATATCACTGGCTAACATGGAGGCCACATGGTGTTTGGGCACCAAGGGCATCTGTCTTCCACACCAGCTGTTGGCAGCTGGGTCCCTCTTGGTCCTAGGTCTAAACCTCCAAACATTAGACCTGAGTAGACTTCAGTCTCACTTTGGGGACAGAATGGTAAAGGGACTGATGAAGCCCTTCCCACAAGGATGTGCATGCTGAGATTATTCCTACCCAAAACATGAGACAGACGAGAAGATTGTTGAAAAGAAACCTGTCCATGGCTGGGGGCACTGCCACTGGCAGAACACTTGCCTTATGTCTGCAAAGCCCTGGCTTCCATCCCCAGCCCTGCTAAAAAGGACAACAAGAGAGCCACATGCAATCGCTGGGTTAACTCTTCCTGCTCGTGCTGAGTTCCCAGGTCTTGGCTGCATGAAAGAACTGACATAAAGGAGCGGCCTCTACCCTTATCAGATAGGAAGTCTCAACTGTGCCTAAGGGGACTGTCCCTAGTAGGGTGCAAATCCCGAATGAGTAGACATCAAAGATTTCCACTGCTCTCTGCACCTGAAGAGCTTCTAGAAGCTCGCAGAACTGACTTCCTGCATGTCTTTCTCCTTTCAGAATTCAAACCAAACCCAATGGTTTAGTCACACAGTGTAAAGTGCAGAGCAGTGTCACTGGGAAGGCACCTACACAGGCCAAGTCAGAGTAGAAAGTGAGCACAAATCTTTGAGACAGTCCACCTCAGCCTGCTGACCTGGAAATATTGGGTGGAGATTCCGAGGGACAGAGGCTACAGGGCCTCTCAGCAGCAGCATGAGCTTCCCTGAGCCTCTGTGGAGCTTGGGGACTCTGGACAGCAAAAACACTGTCCTGCCACTGAAGAAGAAAACAAGAGGGACCAGTTCTTGCTTATGGATGACTAATAAGTCCTAGGAAGCAAATTTCCAGCCCAAGGCATCCGTTCTGTCTTGGCACTTGCCTCCTGCATGGACCCCCACTGGCACACCAAGATGTAGTGCACCTCACAGCCCTGTCTCTGGCAATTGTCCTTGTTCAGCGAGTTAGTGGGAGCCTTTGGCGGGAGGGGGGGCACATGAGGATTTCCAGACCCCAGAGCAGATGTAGGATATGAAGACAGCCATCTGCAGAAGTTGTCCTTCTTTGCCTTGGACCACAAACACCAGAACTCACCCCAAAAGAGACAAAAGCTTAGCCTAGCCAAGGCTTAGATCATGCCCAGCCACAAGGGTCTTCATCAGGCTGTTGCCTTGGAGGCTGAGATGCATCTCTTTCCCGAGTCCCAGTTCCCAGGAGAGGATATTTGTTTTGGAAAGTGATTTGGGGGATCCTGAGCAAGTATTGGTTCCTGAAACTCAGAAGGCTCCACTGGTGCTACTAGTACCTGGCACAGTGCTGCTAGGTGTCTTCATTGCCAATGAGTGGAAGGAAGAAGCATGTTGAAGATTCAGCAGTGCTCTTTCTGTACACATACCCAAGGCAGAGTAAGTCAGGTTTGGACAGAGGGCTGTACTCCCATGTGGCAGCGGCACCAGTCAGAGCTGCTCCGACAAGCAAGGAGTCATCCCAAGTGCCCACCACTGAATACACAGACAAAGAGTATGCCACGTGACGTAGATAACATGACGAAATCTTACGAAGCCTTTAAAAAGAAGAAAGACCTGTCCTTTGTAACAACACAGATGAGCCCGGAGACCATCCCGTTAAATGAAGTTAACCATTCATTCAGACACAGACAAAGACTGCATGAGACTCCCGTGTGAACTCTAAAAGAGTTGAACTCATTAAAGTAACACTGAATGGTGTTCGGAAGTAAGGGGGTAGCTAGGAAGCCGGGGGTCAAAGAATTTAAACTCTCACTAAGACGAGAGGAGTTTGTTGAACACAAGCTCCACAATGGTTTATCGTCATAGCTGCGATCATGGAGCATGTGCTTGAGGGCAGATTTCAAGCACTGTTCTTACCAAACTAAAAAATATAGACATGCAAAAATGATACGTGTGCTGGTTCGTGAAAATTGGCCAGAACAGTGTCCATACATCGCGGTGTACACGGAAGAGAGGGGCAAAGCAAGTTCAGGTTCATGAAAAGGAAAGCACAAGAAAAGCCAGAGGTGTGGTCTGTTTGGAAAGGGCACAGGGAAGAGAGCAAGCTCAGAGTGTGACGGGAGGACTGGCAGCAGCCAGCAGAGCAGCCCACTTCCCCAAAGGCATCCTCTGCTAGACATCTCGGGGAAAGGCTCTGGATGGTACCTGGCATGGCTAATGACTTCATGTAAGCCAGCCCCGGCCTAATTTAACTACACAAAATCAGAATTCAGACCAGAAGTACAGGTTCAGGAAAACATGATTAAAAGCCTTCATATGCCAGAGATAAGGCCACGCTGTCTCAGACTTTCCCCCTCCCTGAAGCTGCTCCTTACCCTCTCAGCTCTGGTCCCACCTGCAGTGTGGAACTTTTATAAGGGTGACACATCTCATAACCAAGAATGTTAACAATGTGTTTCTACCCTTCTTGATTGTTCTAGGAACCCCCTAGTTGCTGAGGTGTCAGCAGATAAACCCTGGGGGAGGGGCATGTGCTGCTGAAAACCTGCATTTTAATTCATTAGTGCAATGTGGTGGCTATATTATGTAAAATCTCAAGGCAGGAGGATCTCTAGTTCTAGGCTAACCTGAGCTACATAGATTCTACACCCCTCCCCTCCAAACAAAAACCAAAAACCAAGACAACAGCTTCAATAAAAACCTAGACTGATAATGATTATGATGATTATAAATTAAGATATCAATCTGCACCACAGTCTATCCTGGCCAGTTCATATAGAGCCTCTTTCTGGCCCTCTGCTAGTAGGGGGAAGCATACAGTAGACAAAGCTAAGACATAAACCAGGCAGAAACTCTATTCCTGGGTGAGCTCATTGATCTCAGGAGAAAGACTCTGCCTGGGTTAGGCAGACACTATTATTTGAGATGTCCTTGGCCAGCACCCATCTCCATCTTCATTCTAACTGATTGTGAGGTGTCTTACCTGATAGAAACTGCTGTGTGTCAAAGAGCTTGCAGGTCTGGTCTCTTTCTAGTTTGTTGGGCCGATCACTGCATAGCGCCAGCGGCCCATCCCAGTAGATCCTGCTCTGGCAAAGTCTTTTGGCATAAAGCCCATCCGGGGCCATCCAGAGGACCAGTCCCCTCTCCAGGTGGCTCAGTAACTTCTCGATGTTCTTCCTCTGCCCATTGTCCTCTGGGTAGGGGAACAGGACCTGGTCCAGGTTGCTGACGTCATAGGTATGTCCATGGGAGATCCGGCAGCCTTCAGGGCTGGACGTGGTCAGCTCCTTCACTAGCATGTCCCGGTAATACAGGCAGATATGCAGCCGGCAGTCTGTGAACAAAACTGTGTAGTCAGTGCTGACGGACCTGGGACAGGTGCCAAGATGCTCAGAGGCCCAAAGACTTAGTGACTAGACTACAGCAGGGGGAACACTTGTGTCAAGATGCTCCATGAACAAGTGGGAAGTCCTAGGGCCAAGGGAGTCTGAGAGAGGTTAGCTGCCCTTATTCCCTACAAATTGCTGGACCGTGAGCACATTCAATACCAAGACAAGCTCACAGAAAGAAACTTATTTCTCTAGCGCGGCCATTTTCAAATACCAATGTGGCCATTTACTCATCTTGGGGAGAGTATTTATTTCTTGGATTTTCAGCCAAATTTTACTAGAAAGTACCTCTATTATGAAGGTTTTTGTTATTGTTGTTGTTGGTTTGTTTGTTTTTGTTTTTTGGATAATGATGTTAGCAGAAGTGACATTTTTGTCTAAAATATGAAGTAATACCACTGAATGGGAATTTATCTTCCAGCAACTGAATTCTGATTTTGGAGTTGCACTCTAAGACTAATTTCTATTAGAAAAAAAAAAAAAAAAGTACAGAGACGTCTCAGAAGAAAAGCAAATGTGTTGACAGCTCTGGAACTTCCCTGAAGTGTCACCATAATGTCATTTAAGTAAAAACAAAACAAAACAACAAAGCTCCCATAGATATACTGGAGGCAAACACTAAGATAACAGTTTCTGGGTTATGGAAAATGATGCTTTTACTTTCTTATTTTTAAGTCAGTTTTCTTTTGGTGGGCGAAGGAACTGATCAGAAAATGTTCTAAAAGCCAATAGCTAACATAAAACCTCCTAAAATCCCTATAAACCTTGTGTTCAACTCTGAAAAGAACCCAACAACTATGTTTTCAACAGCTTTAAGACAGGAACTTATTGACAAATGGTTATATTGCTTTCAGAAACCGCTTTAAAATACCACCCACAGGCTGAAAGGGCAAGCTGGGTATGCAAAGGGCTCCCCGGGCACAGACAAATACCCATGGTGGTGGTTGGAGCCCAGACAATGCCTGGAAAGAATAGCTTTCTGAAAAGCACGCTCAAGGTTCATCATTAATTATGCAAACCCCCGAGAAAGAAACCCACAAAAGCCTCAGTTCTTCAAGGGCAGGTTCTGACAGCCCACATCATGTCTTCCTTCCATTTCTGCTGCTATAAACAGCGAGTCAAGTGGTCACCAAACAGTGGGGGCATTGCCCATCTGAGGTGGCTGGTAGGGCAGGGCTCATTTCATTTAATGTCACCAGAATTAGGAGATGGCAGGGATATAAATAGACATTGATTTCCTATGCTTCAGGCACACACACACATCTTGAGAGTTCCAAGAGAGGGTCTGAAGTTTTCTAGAGTCAGTGATGAGCCCTGATGGTCAGAAGTGTGCCTCTGCTGCTTTTGAGTGGTCCACAAAGTCTCTCTAACCATCAGAACTGGAAGGAAATGGACATTAAAACTTCCTGCTCCCTCAAGAACAAGGGAGTCAAAATGTAGTTGGTGCTTTCAATTGCAGACTTTTAAGGCAGCCATGGGTGTGATGAGAATTCTAACGTGCAAGCTATTCATTTTTAGTATGCATTCAAATTTCATTTGAAAGCATCCAAAATGTATCTAATTACTAAACGGACACAGGATGCATGGTTCAAGTGGGGGGGGGGGGGGGCTTCCTTAAAACTGGCCGGCATCTCCAGGTGCAACCTTCGTTAGTAAGAGAACTTTAAAATCAGATCAAACCCATACATGCTCATCAATTCTATCAACGTTGCAAGAGTGACAGAGCTATATGATCCTTTGGAAGCATAAGAACTTCTTGGAGACCAGGGTCCAGAACCAGTGTTCCCTGGAAGCAGTTCAGGACCTGTTTGTGGTTAACCCTGAATGGACAAACAGCGTTTGGAACTGAAAAGCCATTGTGCCCATGAAGCCTTTCTGCACTGTGAGGATGTTGGCTGGAGGAGGAGCCTGGTTACACATTCCTGGAAAGCTGGGCAGGTAATGACCTAGAGGTTAAAGACTTCCTCCAGATAATGTTTGGCTAGCTGCTACAGATTCTAATAGATTTCTTTATCCACTGTGATGTCCACATAGTCTGGGCCATGCCTACTCCAGACCCCAGTGCCTGTAAGGTGAGAGCCTAAACCCTGACCTCACCTACCCAGAGGAGGGATGCCACCTCCCTCAGAGCCTTAAAGGAAGTGCCGCACTCACCTGACAGTGCCAAGGCTTCAGCAGACCTTATGCTTGGCTCAATGGGGATTCCAGGAGCCTGGGACTCAGGTGGGGCACAAGCATAAAAGGTTCCTGTCACCTGGCAACCTGCATTTGCAAATAAAAAACCAGACAACGTCTAAGCAGAGAGTCTGGGTGCAGGGAGGCTTTTGAGTTGGTAGAAGCTATGCCTTATCACCTTCCAACCCCAGCTTGACAGGCTATCAACAACCACTGACTGCAGTATGATTATAAGGCAAAGGCCAAAAACCAATGAGAGAAAATTCAGGGTAATGAAGGAAGGAGTCACAGCACAGCTCTGAAGGGAAACGTGGAGCTCTCTCCAGAACTCATCAACAGGGAAACTGAGGCCCAGAAGGAAGGGAATTTGCATCACTCCACTCAGCAAGTTCCCAGAAGGACCAGAGTTCAAATTTATATGATGCTGGTTTAAGAAAAAATAAATTAATTATTCAACCCTCACTTATTCTGCTTGCTGTTTGTAAGATTGGGGGAAACTGAACCATGTTCCCTTGCAGCAGAGAAGTTATGTCACACTAAACCAAGGTTGATCTAAGCATGGATGGAATGCGGGTGCTGAGGGGAGATGAAATTGTGACAAGGAAATTATTTCCAGAACAATATAAAAGGGCTCTTCATGTGGTGACCCGTGTCAAGACTTCTACTTAAATAATGAACTTGAAAGTCCTAAAAGCTTGTTTTATGCCCAGCCCAGGGGCATCCCATCTACTCAGGAGTTCAAGGCAGGAGGGTCAAACTGCAATTCAGCCTGGGTAATTTAGCAAGACTCTATCTTAAAATAAACAGTCAAAAAAAAAAAGGCCTTGGGGTGTAGCCCAGTGCACTTGCCTAAATAAATACGAAATGACCAAAGCTCCACTGAATGTAATGTGAAAATTTCTGTGTCTGGTTAATTGGTGTTTCTTCTGTGAGAACTCATTGAGGGCCCTGTAGTTCATTTGGAGCCTGACACTCTAAAGTATTTGTAGAGATATTTTGTGGATTACTTTTGCTTCCTTAGTACCAAGAACAGCGACAAATGACTCATCACTGTTCAAGGGGCATGACTAGCAATGATTTCTTTAAGTCCTTGCAGAGACGGGCTGGGCACAGATGTCCTATGGTTCCTTTGCAGAAGAGTAGAAAGAAACAGACTAGGGAAAGAGTATGGCTGTCCATCAGTGATATCCATCAGTAGGAAGATGGACAAAATCTAACCCTCTGTCCTACACCATCTGCATGGGATGTCTGTCTGGCATCTCCGTGGAAGGGGGAAGCCCTGTGGTGCTGCCCAGGAGGGCCACCCAGGGTTACCCACACCCTAAGCCCAGGTTGTTCTTCTGTCTGCTTCCCTGGCACACTCCTTACCATTTTCACAAGATGGGCCTTGCCAGTGGTGGCTTCGGGGGCCAAACGTCACAGGACATTGATATGGGATTTCTGGGTGTGACTGGTCAGGGGCATAATCCCGCCAGCTCCTGTCATGGGGTGGCATCATGTAGTTATGAACCTGCTGGCAGAGCACAGGGATTGCTAAGAGGAAAAGATCAGTGGGGGGTGGGGGAGACGGACCGGGGTCCTTTCATAGCATCCAAACTCCTCAGGGAACCTCTTCTTTTTTGGCCAGAAGCCGAGTCACTTTGCCCAATAAGTGGCAAGAACTGTCTATCACACTAGGTAGAAAAAAAGCCATAGAGGGTCTAAACTCACAATGGGGGCATTGTGTAAAGCCACGATTTTTGTAAAGTTGCATCATATGGTTGAGCCTGGCACCAAAAATACTGCAGTGAAATCTGCCCCTTTTAAGCCACCAAAGTGAATGAAACAGTACTGTGATTCACATAGGGGAAGACTAACGAAGTCAGCTGCCCTGTGGTTTCACATGATAGAGTACTACTTCCAAAATTTTTGACTTCCACAAAAGGTCTGGTTCCCAGAAGATCTGACCATCAGAAGAAGTGTTACCTCCCCAGGTGGGACACCTACCTCCCCAACTTAAGCCTGGCATCAGGGACAGTGACACCTTGTTGAAACTGAAACATCCTTCTATGCCCAGGAGTCTGTTCAGCATTTGTACTAGCCATAACAAATAGTAAGGTAGTAGTGAGGTTTTTATTTGTGGGGACCCCCTGTCTGGGGCCCGCCCAAAGTTGTAGACTAGCCTTCTACAAGATCAAGAGTCTGCTACATACCTGGGCTGGCAGAGAGCTGTAATGTGTTGTCATGGGGTAAGGGTGGCCCATGGCCATCTGTGTGTCTTCCAAAGTGAGCTGCTTTGCTCCTGAGAGTTTGAGGAAAAAAAAAAAAAAAAAAAAAGAAACATTGCAGAGTAAAACAAGGAACTGACTTAACTGGTCAGCTAATCTCATAAAAGTACCTGAGCACTTGATTTTTAGAATGCGTAGCCACATTAATTAACCTATCATGTGTTTGTTTCTTAAATAATTCTCCAGGGGTTTATTTGTCTATGTCATTAAGATGATTAGATAAGCTCTGACTGGTGTGTGAGGACCAGAGAAGGAGACGCCACACAGGGCTCTGCGATCCACCGAGTGGTTTCTGGTGGTGAGGTGGTGCCTCGCTGAAGTACCCAGCATGACTGGAACAAAATGCAGATTCCCGGGCTTCAGACACATTAGTTAGAATGTTGAAAAGAAGAAACTCAAGATCTTAATTTTCCTAAGTACCCCAGCAGGTCATGTCATACTAGGAACTCTGGTATTTTTTATCACAATAGATGTGTATATTTATGGGGTTTGTGGGGGAAAAAATGCTTAATTACTAAAGGACATTAGTCAAGCAAAGCTTTAATGGATCTTCCAGTTTTTGTTTGGAAATTTGGTCCATATCCTGATTGAAGGGACTAACTGGAAACAGTGCTTGCACGTGCATACCCACACACCCGTCGGGTTTAAAGACTGAGAGGCAAGCCTATACTAACGCCTATGGTTTTGACTTATAACCCAGAGAGCATGGGCAAAGAGAATGCTGGGCTTAACCATGGGGCAGAAGGTAGCCGTCTACCAGACAGCAGCAGCAGAAAGTGACCGACGGTAGGAATGAAGGCTCCGTGGATGTCACGTTGCCTTTCTCCCGTGGCCCATGTTGGGGAAATCCCCTACCTTTTTTGGCTCCCTCGGGAACAATCCTGTACACCTTGTAGGGGTCAGAGATATCCAGCTGGCTCCTCTCTACCAGTTCTTCAAAGTCATTGCTCTTGTTCAGAGCACATCGTAACCGTGTCTTCCAAGTAGGAGGGTCTGGCTTGTCGATACCTTCTCGGAACTTTCCTTTAAAGAGTGCCCAGGCCTGAGAATGAATGCAAGGAAAAGTCAAGCTCGGATCTTCAAAAGGAATCTGTGGACTGTATTTCAGAAAGGAAGGTTGGTGTTTCAGTTCTACTGTTGCCCAAAACGTGGGACACGGAGGTCGTGGGGGCCCTCTAAGGAAAGGACCTCTCACCCAGGACCCATTGGTGAGATAGGGAAGGCTGTACACACCCAGTGCCTCAATCAAGTGTGGACAAGACTAGGGACAGAGCTGTGGAAGGGACAGGCCCCAGAGAGGACATCTACAAAAGTCACAGAGGTACTTGGAACAAATTCCCGCAGGAAGTCCCCTTCCCATGCCCTGCTGGCAGGTGGAGGCTGGGGGCTTCACAGTTCAGTGAGCCTGCTCTCTGGAGACATCAGCCCTGAGGGACTCACACGGGCTGGGGGCCTCCCAGGGAAAGACTTGAAATAATCAAAGCCACCCAAAGAAACAGAAACAGAAATGGAAGCTTCCAGAACTGGAACCGGACAGCAGAGGAGCCCAAGCAAGCAAACAAAACCCAGAGAGAGAGAGAGAGAGAGAGAGAGAGAGAGAGAGAGAGAGAGAAACTCAGAAAAGTAGCAAAACGGAGACAGGGAAGCAGAGAGTGGTCCTAGCAGTCAGTGGTGGTAATGGCAGGAAGTAGCCTAATGGGCGATGCAACAGGAGCCCTAGCCTCAGGGCACCTCTGAGCCCCCAGGGATGCTCCTGAAGCTGAAAGTACTTTCCTTCTCACAAACTTAAGTGTTGGGACCTGGCTTCCTGTTTGTATAACTCCCGGAGAGCTTGCAACCTCTTTCCCTTCTCCCCGGACTTCTGCCAAGCTAGCCACTCCAGCCTCTGCCTGGTGGGGTTCACCAAACCTCCGGGGGAGGGGGGGAGAGCTTGCTCTGAAGCCACAGCGCATGCAGAGCTGTCAGGCTCTCCTCCCCCCGCCCCCCCACTCTCCCCAGCCCTGAGATCCCCGACTGACTGCTGCTGACCTTGAAGAGGGCGGCGTCCTCTTCACGGTTGTAGTCCTGCTTGCCCGCGTGCTTCCACGGGATGCGGAAGACGCTCTTCTCCTCGTTCTCCCACACGAGGCCGGGGTACTTGCCGCTGTCGATCTGGTCTATCAGCCACTGGCGGAGTTTCCCGTTGCCGCAGCTCACCGCGCTCATGCCGAACTCTGCGCCCCGGCCGCCCGCGTCCAGGTTCATGCTGCGTGCCGACCTCCCGCGTTCGCGCCGCTGCGGGGAGACAAACTTCCCTGCAGCCGCCTTCGCCTCGTTCGCGGGGCTCCCCGTCCCAAACTCTCGGCAGTGACCCCGAGGCCTCGGGGTATCTGAGGCTGCGAGGTGCCCGCGCGCAGCGCCAGTGTCTCCGGAGTCACCCAAGAGAGGGTCCTTGGGCGAAGTGGTGGGGAGCACCCCTGGGCGAGCGCCATCCTCGGGGGTCCATCCTCTCGCCCCATCTTGCCCTCAACGTCCAGGATTTCAACGCCCTCCATCGCGAGCTCCGGGACGCACAACTATCCGCAGACCCCAAGTCTGGCACCGTCGCGGGCGCCCCGTTGGCTTACTTGCCAGGCTCCAAGCTGCATTCACCCCCACTTTGCCCTCACTCTGTTTCTACCCTCGCCCCCTTCCTGGGTTCAGGCTACCCTGGAGGCCCCGGGCTAGAAGGACCTCGCACGTGGACTAGCCCTAGTCCAGGTCCCGTGGCCACGCCTTGCAGGTGTGCAGTACCTCGCTCTCCCCTCCCTTGCCTTTCCTCTTCGACATCCTCACTTTGCCCCCCGGAATAATGCCAGGCCTACCCAGACAGAGACCGTTCCCGTGGGCCCTGGGAGCAACAAGTGGAAGCCCGGGTGAGGGGCGAGCAGCGCGGCCAAGAAGCGGCAGATCGCAGCCTGCAGAGGGTCAGCGTGACCCCGGGCGGGAGGGAGGAGGTCAGGGGATGCTGCGCACAGCCACGCCAGCTCCCCTGCGCGGGAAGCGGAGGGAGGCGTGGGGGAAGGGGCTCCGAGCGCCGCAAGTTCGGAGCGCCTAGCTCTCGCCTAGGAATCCCGCGCTGCAGCCCCCGAGGAGTTTGGTCCCTTCTGAACCGGGGCCGGGAAAGGGGTTTCTCATCGGAGCAGACAAGGTCAGGGGTGGTCCCTCTAGGGACCAGCTGCCGCCCGTGCGTGTCCCACTGATGACACGACAGTCCCGTTAGCTCGTCCCGCCCAGCCCGTGGGGATGTCCTGGAACGGCCGCCCGAGCAGCTTCACACAGAACACGCAGTGCACGCGTCCTGGGCCAGCTCGGATGAGGGGAGCCGGGCGCGGGTGGGAGCTCTCTGGCCGAGCAGCCTCGGGGCTTCGGGCTCAGAGATGGAAGCCGGGCTTCTCGTTCCCGCCCCGTCCTCTACCACCAGCCTCGCACTCCTCCTTCTGCCCGACTCCAGGCCTTACCTCACCCGCACTCTGAGCTGAGGGCAGCAAAGGGTCCCAAGTTCAAGTGGTGAAACTCAAAAGTGAGGTGAGAAAGAGGAACTTTATAGACCGGAGGCGGAGCGCGGCAGTGGGCGTGGCGTGGCGGCTCCGCCTGCGAGGGCGTGGTTCTCCTAGGCTAGGACCGGCCCTCCATCCCTGCCCCGGGCCAGGCCAGGCTAAGGTATCCTGCTGGGACAGGAGCTTTGGATTGGAGCCCATAGGGTCAGGGGCTGTCTCCCTGCGGACGATCCTTGACTTTCTCCAGTCCCTCCAGTGGAAGGGTCTGTGTAGTCTGACGCACTCGGAAATCCTCAGCCCAGTGAGACAGTCACTATGGCTCATTCCTGTGGAGGACAAGGCACTCAAAGGGGATCTGGGCTCCATCCTAGAAGTTGCAAGGAGGCTAACTAGTAACCCCTCAAAACTACTGGCGTGGCCAGATTGGGAAGTGGTGGAGGCTCTGGAGCCCGGGAGACCTGGTCCTCACAGCACGTGAAAGAAGAGACAGACTGAGAAATGCTGAGCATCCTTGGCATGAGCAAAGGTTGTCTCTCTGCAGTGTTTAGAGAACATCACGCTTTTAAGAAGAAAATAGGAAGGCGAGTTTTTAAAGCGTAGTCCAAATACTGTGTTTGAAATGCTTATACACTTTGAGTGTGTGAAACCGATGAATTGAGATGACTCAGACAATGCACAGCCCCCAAAGTTTCAATTATGGCAACATAAAAGAGACGGGGGATCCCTAAGCGTTCAGGTAGTTAGCACTTCCGGATGTCAATTCACCTTAAAATGATAGTTTTAACCTCAGCCTCATAGAAGGCATTTACCGGTGGGGTACGAATGCCCCCAGTAGAAATGAAGGCTAAGGCGACTGAGGGTTTTACTTTATTTCCTGTGTTGTCTCTGACCCTCCGATTTAACTCCCTGAGCGTTCACCACTGACTTTCTCCAGCCCACCTTGGATGCCGGGAGCGCATATGTTTACTTCATATTGTCAGATAAACAGTCAGATCACCACTTTCTATATGATTTTAAATCACCGCCACCACAGGTCAACTTGGAACGTTTGTAAAGCTCTTTCATTTCACTTGTTTCTCGGCTTTTCTTTTCGTCTTCTACCATGGGTCTTAGACTTTAGGAAACAGCTGATTTCAGCCACTGCAAGGCAGGCACAGAGATGCCCACAGCTATGCTTTTTCCTAACACCAACAGGCTTTCTCAGAAATTAACAGGATGCCATGTCGGTATTTCACCCCAATAAGTTTTCCATTGTCAGAGCCCGAGTAGTAAACAACAGGGTTTCGTTCAAAGAAAATTTTGGTTACACCCGTTTTCCCCTCTTCTTCCTTCAATGGCTTCATTCATTCAAAAAATATTCTTTGAACAACACCTCTCTGTCAGGAACTGCCTTGGCCACTGCTGGAGACACATCTCTGAGCAAAGCAGAGATTGGTACTTCAGATAGCATAGCCACTGAGGAATTACTTTTCTTCAAAGTGTGCACAAATAGGAGACTGTTAAGAGCAAAAACAGCAAACCAGAGGTGTTTTTTTTTTTTTTTTTTTTTTTTTTTTTGAACTTTCATACACGTGTCCTCTGCCTTGGCTTAGGCGGTTTCAACATTTTCCTCACCCATCCACATCCTCTGTTTTCAGAAGTTTCAACAACAGTCATTACAAGAAACTTTTTGAGACTTCACATGGCTATCGCATTTAGAGAGACGATTACTAATCTTCAACGCCATCTTCTGGTTTGCTTGGTTGTCGTATGGATCCCCTAGAAGTGACATTTTAATGATGATGTGGACGCAAGCAATAGGCTTCCTATTTTATTAGCATCTACTAATTGCAAACAGCAATATATGTCATTATGGACATTTTCATACACAGATCACATTCACCTCCTTTATTGCAATTTCTTGCCACTCACCCCTCCAGCGTTCCCTCTTTTCCCACATCCCTAAACAGCACCCCTTTTACTTTCATACCCTTGCCCTAACATGTGAAAGCATGTGAGACACATATTTGAGAGACTGGCTCACTCCCCACAGCATGTCAAGTTCCAGTTCCAGTTCCAACCATTCCTTGCAAATGGCATGATTTTGTTTCTTGCTTCTGGTTGATTGAAATTTCTTTGGGTTATTTTGACTAAAGAGCCACTGAGGAGGGAATTAGGTCTGGATGGGATAAATTTATGATAGACTATTAGATGACTATACCTAAATTCAGTATTTAAGAATAGATGTTTTAAAATTATACATTCATGTGTAAGAAAAAAAGTAGTTAATAGATCCTATCTGTGTTAGACACACAAAGACATTATTTAGTCAGAAGTGTACCTTAGCAGCAAAATGCTTGCCTAGCTTGTGGAAGGCCCTGGGTTCAATCCCTAACAACCCAAAGCAAAGCAAGCCCCCCCTCCAAGAGACTGAGACCTTGTTTTGAATAAATGTATTTTTATCACAAATTCACTCCTTAAAAAGAGACTACAATTTGTTTTTAAAACAGTGGAATTCTATCCTTGGGGAAAAACTAATGTAATTGTTTTTAATCATTTGAAAAAATATATAACAGGAAAGTTAAAAAATACTCGTTTTGACACATTGCCTCTGATTAAAAAAAAAACAAAAAACAAAAAAAACAAAAAAAGACTCTGATGCTCCAACCCTAGGTATGTGGGATGGTGAGAATGACCCCTGACAACTCCATGGTGAATGGCAGGAAGGACGTGACTAGAGTTCACAGGAGTGAAGGCTCAGATGGCGATTTAACTTGCCCATGTTCAAGAGTGATGGTGACCCTGCCTCCACAGTGGCCCGACAATGACATCACACTTATATTCATCCACTTGCAACTATGATTGCTTGTATCCTATGTCAGCCCTTGGGAAGTGTCACAGACATAATGGCTTTTATCCTTTAACCATAGCTGCATGGTCCAGTTGTGAGGAGAGAGATCCAGAGGGGCCACTGGTCATCTCTGCAGCTTGCCCTAGAACTCAGCTTTTATGAATCAATCTTTCCTCTGAGTACATCTGTCTGCTGTCCTTCGGGTTAAAGTCAGGGGATGGGGAGATGGCTCAGTCAGCAAGATTGCTTACTCTGCAAGCATTAGGACTTGAGTTCAAATCCATAGCACTCATATAAGAAAGCTGGGCATTGTTTTGCATATGCATAATTTCAGTATTGAGAGGCTGAGATAGGTAGATCCCAATGGCTGAATTGAATGTTATTAGTAAAGTGATGTTTTCTTAGGCAATAAGGCATACAATTATATATATTTCTAAATATACCTTCTTAACTGAAGTTGCAGAATGCTCTGAGTGTTACAGTGGCCTCAAACAGTTCCAGTATCAAACATCCTCAGAACATCAGCCACTGAGAAGGAGAAGCTGTTGGGAATGCAGTTAATGCAGGAGTCAGTGCATCTAGCTATTTCTTAGGCAGAAAATAATCACTTTCAGGCTTATAGGAAATGAGACTTGTCATTTTAATTAATTATGTAATAAGGAGTCATAAAGTCTATGACTCTAGGACAACATTGTGCCTTCTCTTTCGTCATGTTTATAAACAACAGGCTGTTCCCTTTTTATCTCCTTTTATCATCAGTATTCTAAGAAGTTTCCTTGTGACACTCCTTTCTCTCTATTTGTTACAGTTGCTGCGTAATCAGTGACGGCTCCAAACGAGGAGCCACTTGATACTGCCAACTCCTGATCCCAAGCCAACAAAATGCAAATGCTGTGCAATCGCTGTGGACGATTTTCTGAAAACTGAAGCAATAGGTGAAAGGCAAATGGCATTGTCTCACTTTACCCATTTGTAACATTGTTTGACTCTGGATTATTCTAAACTGTATCTGCTATTCTTTCAGCAGAACACTGCAAAATGGAGCTTCTGCCATCACTTGTCACACAGGAACGATGCTGGGACGCTTGGGGTGGTAGAGCTTATTTTTCAGAGAAAGTTACATCGTGTCTGGTCAACCTGAGGCTTGAGGTTATGAGTTCTTTCTTGTTCGTTCATATGGGCTATTCAGGACCAGTTTAGTTTGGAACATCCTTGATCACTGGCAAATGGAAAGGATGCAGGAAGGCCTGTCCACTGACTTGTCATGCTGGCAATTAGTGTTACTTATACTGCCCTGACACACATCCCTTGTTTGGAGATGAGAGCCCCAGCAAAGGGGCTGTGGTTATATGGCTGTGGTTGGGTATGGCACAGAAAAGAATGACCAGAACTCCTGGGAGGATTCTACAGAGACAGACAAATCCTCAGGCAGAGCAGGCAGATGGGAAATGGGATGGTAAGGAAGAGGACATGAGGTCTGATGAGGTTGGATTGAAAGATCCAGGTGCAGAGATCAGGAAACTGTACCTATGAGAATCCACTTCCCAGACACTCACAGAGGAAGTGTGACTGTGAGTTGGAGGCTCACTTTATGGGTTGAGTGACTCATATCCTAAAGGTTTGGGCTGTTACTCCCCTGATACAAATCTGGGCATCATAGGATAACACCCTCCAAAGTCTGTGCCTTATTTTGCTTTGCTCTGTTTCTGCTTACACCTGCCAGGATAAGCACCTCCAGGGGTCCTGTCCACCTCTGTGCCTAGAGGAGGTTTGCCAGTTGTAGCACATCAAAATGTGTAATTCAGAATTAAATTTGGATTTCTGAAAAAGGTAATTATTCAGTATAAGTGTGCCCCATACAGAATTTGAAGCTACTTCGTCTGAGATTCAAATGTGTATCAGATGCTGTACTTTGAGTGTACCCTCTCACAGTTGTGGGTTGGCAATTTAATTCCCCAGGGAAACTTTATTTGGTGGAGGTGGGGCCTCTGAAAAGTAATTAGGTTAACCGGTGTCTTAAGTGTGCATGTTGGTTGTAAAGACATTATCAGAACAAGAAGAGAGGCCTGAGCTAGCTGCTTGTTTTATGTCACCACATGGTGCCATGTGTCATGCTAAGATTCAGCAAAACAGTTTCTCCAGATGAGAGTATCATGCTCCTAGCTTTCCCAG